TGAGACCGGTCCAGGACTTAGAGAGAAATTAGCTTCATTCAAAAAAAACTGTTGCCTTTCAAGAATCATCTTTTTTGATTAATTCCTTGTATGTTTACTCATATGATCTAAACCCCGCACACCACACAGAGGGACATTGACCTCGATGAGCCGCAAACAAATGGCAATGATGCAAAACACTACAGAGTAAACCTGGATTTGTTTAAAGGGGAAGTAACAGAGACATTTGCATGGACAGACGAGTGAAGACAGAGAGGACCGAAGCTTTAGTCAAATGTTTCCAGGGCGTGTGCTGCCGCTGCTTTGCATCCAGGACAGATGAAAATAACAACCATATTTACGTTTATATTATTTACTAAATGTAGTTTGTGTGAATGATGGATGAAGGTTGAACCCAGTCTCTCCCATAGTCTCTCTGTATAATCTCTCTTATTCAGTCTCTCTCTGCCATAGTCTCTCTCTGCCATATTCTCTCTCTGCTATAGTCTCTCGGCTATGGTCTCTCTCTACCATAGTCTCTCTCTGTCATAGACTCTCTCTGCCATAGACTCTCTCTGCCATAGTCTCTCTCTGCTATAGTCTCTCTCTGCTATAGTCTCTCTCTGTCATAGACTCTCTCTGTCATAGACTCTCTCTGTCATAGACTCTCTCTGCCATAGACTCTCTCTGCCATAGTGTCTCTCTTCCATAGTTTCTCTCTTCCATAGTCTCTCTCTGCTATAGTCTCTCTCTTCCATAGTCTCTCTCTGCTATAGTCTCTCTCTGGCATAGTCTCTCTCTGCCATAGTCTCTCTCTGCCATAGTCTCTCTCTGCCAAAGCCTCTCTGCTATAGTCTGTCTCTGCTATAGTCTCTCTCTGCCATAGTCTCTCTCTTCCATAGTCTCTCTCTTCCATAGTCTCTCCCTTCCATAGTCTCTCTCTGCTATAGTCTCTCTCTGGCATAGTCTCTCTCTGCCATAGTCTCTCTCTGCCATAGTCTCTCTCTGCCAAAGCCTCTCTGCTATAGTCTGTCTCTGCCATAGTCTCTCTCTGCCATAGTCTCTCTCTTCCATAGTCTCTCTCTGCCATAGTCTCTCCCTTCCATAGTCTCTCTCTGCTATAGTCTGTCTCTGCTATAGTCTCTCTCTTCCATAGTCTCTCTCTGCCATAGTCTCTCTCTTCCATAGTCTCTCTCTGCCATAGTCTCTCTCTGTCATAGACTCTCTCTGCCATAGACTCTCTCTGCCATAGTGTCTCTCTTCCATAGTTTCTCTCTTCCATAGTCTCTCTCTGCCATAGTCTCTCTCTGCCATAGTCTCTCTCTGCCATAGTCTCTCTCTGCCATAGTCTCTCTCTGCCATAGTCTCTCTCTGCATAGTCTCTCTCTGCCAAAGCCTCTCTGCTATAGTCTGTCTCTGCTATAGTCTCTCTCTGCCATAGTCTCTCTCTTCCATAGTCTCTCTCTGCTATAGTCTGTCTCTGCTATAGTCTCTCTCTTCCATAGTCTCTCTCTGCCATAGTCTCTCTCTTCCATAGTCTCTCTCTTTCATAGTCTCTCTCTGCCATAGCCTCTCTGCTATAGTCTGTCTCTGCTATAGTCTCTCTCTTCCATAGTCTCTCTCTGCCATAGTCTCTCTCTTCCATAGTCTCTCTCTGCTATAGTCTCTCTCTGGCATAGTCTATCTCTGCCATAGTCACTCTCTTCCATAGTCTCTCTCTGCCATAGTCTCTCTCTTCCATAGTCTCTCTCTGCCATAGTCTCTCTCTTCCATAGTCTCTCTCTGCTATAGTCTCTCTCTGCCATAGCCTCTCTGCTATATTCTCTCTCTGCCATAGTCTCTCTCTTCCATAGTCTCTCTCTGCTATAGTCTCTCTCTGGCATAGTCTGTCTCTGCCATAGTCTCTCTCTTCCATAGTCTCTCTCTTCCATAGTCTCTCTCTGCTATAGTCTCTCTCTGCCATAGTCTCTCTCTTCCATAGTCTCTCTCTGCTATAGTCTCTCTCTGCCATAGTCTCTCTCTGCCATAGTCTCTCTCTGCCATAGTCTCTCTCTGCCATAGTCTCTCTCTGCCATAGTCTCTCTCTGCTATAGTCTCTCTCTGCCATAGTCTCTCTCTTCCATAGTCTCTCTCTGCTATAGTCTCTCTCTGCCATAGTCTCTCTCTTCCATAGTCTCTCTCTGCTATAGTCTCTCTCTGCCATAGTCTCTCTCTTCCATAGTCTCTCTCTGCTATAGTCTCTCTCTGCCATAGTCTCTCTCTGCCATAGCCTCTCTCTGCCATAGTCTCTCTCTGCCATAGTCTCTCTCTGCTATAGTCTCTCTCTGCCATAGTCTCTCTCTTCCATAGTCTCTCTCTGCCATAGTCTCTCTCTTCCATAGTCTCTCTCTGCCATAGTCTCTCTCTGCCATAGTCTATCTCTGCCATAGTCTCTCTCTGCTACAGTCTGTCTCTTCGGAGAGGAGAGAGCCCAGAAAGATCAGAGAGAGAGCCCAGAGAGAGCCCAGAGCTACACAGGAGAAGTCACAAAGTTATGAAGACCATAAATGTACATATGTTTGGTAATTACACCTAAAGAACAGACTGCTCCTCTCCTCTCCCTGACGCACACTGACCTCATGACGAAGTGGAGGAAGACGACGATTGCGAGGAAGAACATGGAGATGCCACAACCGATACGAGTGAGGGTGGTGAGAGTGTTGAGGTCTGAGCTGCTTATGGTCTCATTCAGGGGAGTCTGAGACCATAGAGAGACCGAGAGAGACCAGAGAGAGACCAGAGGGAGTTCAAAGAGACCAGAGAAAGACCAGAGAGAGAACAGAGAGAGACCAGAGAGAGACCAGAGAGAGAGACCAGAGAGATAGACCAGAGAGAGAGACCAGAGAGAGAGACCAGAGAGAGAGACCAGAGAGAGAGACCAGAGAGAGAGACCAGAGAGAGACCAGAGAGAGACCAAAGAGACAGACCAGAGAGAGAGACCAGGGGAAAAAAAGATGGATTATTGTGATGAAAATGCAAAATAAAATAAATATGCAAGAGTGTGTGTGTGTGTGTGTGTGTGTGTGTGTGTGTGTGTGTGTGTGTGTTGAAACACACCAGCAGAACAGCGAAGAAGGTCATGTGAGAGCACTTGCAGGTGACATTAATCCCACTTTGAATGGTCTCACATCCGTAACTGGTCCACTGTGGTCTGCCTCCTACAGCAACACAACAACACAACCGTCAAAGCTACACAACAACACAAACACAAAACACAAATCTAGTGTATTCAAAAGTATGTTTATTTCTGTAATTCTGATTGAGAGAGATGATGGAGACCAGAGAGAGACCAGAGAGAGACCAGAGAGAGACCAGAGAGAGACCAGAGAGAGACCAGAGAGAGACCAGAGAGAGACCAGAGAGAGACTAGAGAGAGACCAGAGAGAGACCAGAGAGAGACCATAGAGAGACTAGAGCGAGACCAGAGAGAGACCAGGGAGAGAGACCAGAGAGAGAGACCTGAGAGAGAGACCTGAGAGAGACCAGGGAGAGAGACCAGAGAGAGAGACCAGAGAGAGACCAGAGAGAAACCAGAGAGAGACCAGAGAGAGACCAGAGAGAGCCCAGAGAGAGACCAGAGAGAGACCATAGAGAGACTAGAGCGAGACCAGAGAGAGACCAGGGAGAGAGACCAGAGAGAGAGACCTGAGAGAGAGACCTGAGAGAGACCAGGGAGAGAGACCAGAGAGAGAGACCAGAGAGAGAGACCAGAGAGAAACCAGAGAGGGACCAGAGAGAGACCAGGGAGAGAGACCAGAGAGAGAGACCAGAGAGAGAGACCAGAGAGAGACCAGAGAGAGAGACCAGAGAGAAACCAGAGAGGGACCAGAGAGAGACCAGGGAGAGAGATCAGAGAGAGAGACCAGAGAGAGAAACCAGAGAGGGACCAGAGAGAGACCAGGGAGAGAGACCAGAGAGAGAGACCAGAGAGAGAGACCAGGGAGAGAGACCAGAGAGAGACCAAAGAGAAAGACAAGAAATACCAGAGAGACCAGAGAAAAAGACAAGAGAGACCACACTGAGACCAGAAAGAGACCGAAGAGAGACCAGAGGTGATATGTTTTTGTTTGGTCCGGGACTTACAGAAAAATTTGCTCTGAACTACTGTACATCTTTCGACAGTTACCACGGTTACAAGGCTGCACCGCCACCAATTTAAACTATACATTTTATTGAACCTTGTGATGTCACACAGCGCTCCCTAAAATACTTTACCCGTTCCGTTCCAGGAGTGACATGATGGAACTCCGTCCTGTAAAACACAGACAACATTTGCACTCAACATACAGAACAAAATGTAACATTACAATACCACGGTACTCTCCCATGGTTCTTACGTATTTTGAGTTCCAGAAGTTGACGTTGATGGTGTCGGTGAGGTTCTGGATCACCGTCCCCATCTCAATCGCCAAAACCTCATCTCCCAAAACGCTGCTGTTGTACTCGTCCTATAAACATCACAAACTCAGAGACGGTCGCCATAGTTACAGTGTTATCTCATTAGGAAAACTCTGAATGAACCTAAACATTTAGGCTGATTTCTCTGCTCTCTCTCTCTCTGGTCCCCTCCTGGTCTCTTTCTGGTCTCTCTCTGGTCTCTCTCTGGTCTCTGTCTGGTCTCTCTCTGGTCTCTCTCTCTGGTCTCTCTCTGGTCTCTTTCTGGTCTCTCTTTCTGGTCTCTCTCTGGTCTCTGTCTGGTCTCTCTCTGGTCTCTCTCTGGTCTCTGTCTGGTCTCTCTCTGGTCTCTCTCTCTGGTCTCTCTCTGGTCTCTCACTCTAGTCTCTCTCTGGTCTCTCTCTGGTCTCTCTCTCTGGTCTCTCTCTCTAGTCTCTCTCTGATCTCTCTCTGGTCTCTCTCTGGTCTCTGTCTGGTCTCTCTCTGGTCTCTCTCTGGTCTCTCTCTGGTCTCTCTCTGGTCTCTCTCTGGTCTCTCTCTGGTCTCTCTCTGGTCTCTCTCTGGTCTCTCTCTCTGGTCTCTCTCTGGTCTCTCTCTGATCTCTCTCTCTGGTCTCTCTCTGGTCTCTCTCTGGTCTCTCTCTGGTCTCTTTCTGGTCTCTCTCTGGTCTCTCTCTGGTCTCTCTCTGGTGTCTCTCTGGTCTCTTTCTGATCTCTCTCTGGTCTCTCTCTGATCTCTCTCTGGTCTCTCTCTGGTCTCTCTCTGATCTCTCTCTGATCTCTCTCTGGTCTCTCTCTGGTCTCTCTCTGGTCTCTCTCTGATCTCTCTCTGGTCTCTCTCTGGTCTCTCTCTGGTCTCTCTCTGGTCTCTCTCTCTGGTCTCTCTCTGGTCTCTCTCTGGTCTCTCTCTGGTCTCTCTCTGGTCTCTCTCTGGTCTCTCTCTGGTCTCTCTCTGGTCTCTCTCTGGTCTCTCTCTGATCTCTCTCTGATCTCTCTCAGGTGTCTCTCTGGTCTCTCTCTGATCTCTCTCTGGTCTCTCTCTGGTCTCTCTCTGGTCTCTCTCTGATCTCTCTCTGATCTCTCTCTGGTCTCTCTCAGGTCTCTCTCTCTGGTCTCTCTCTGGTCTCTCTCTGGTCTCTCTCTGGTCTCTCTCTGGTCTCTCTCTGGTCTCTCTCTGGTCTCTCTCTGGTCTCTCTCTGGTCTCTCTCTGGTCTCTCTCTGATCTCTCTCTGATCTCTCTCTGGTCTCTCTTTGATCTCTCTCTGGTCTCTCTCTGGTCTCTCTCTGATCTCTCTCTGGTCTCTCTCTGGTCTCTGTCTGGTCTCTCTCTGGTCTCTCTCTGGTCTCTCTCTGGTCTCTCTCTGGTCTCTCTCTCTGGTCTCTCTCTGGTCTCTCTCTCTCGTCTCTCTCTGGTCTCTCTCTGATCTCTCTCTCTGGTCTCTCTCTGGTGTCTCTCTGGTCTCTTTCTGATCTCTCTCTGGTCTCTCTCTGATCTCTCTCTGGTCTCTCTCTGGTCTCTCTCTGATCTCTCTCTGATCTCTCTCTGGTCTCTCTCTGGTCTCTCTCTGGTCTCTCTCTGGTCTCTCTCTGGTCTCTCTC